GGGGATTGTAACCATGACACTGAAACGATATATGATAGGATGAATGGAAAGCTATCACATAATTCACAATTAAACATTAAAAAAAAATCAGCTTGAAGATTAAGGTACGACTGGCCCAAGCTATGGTATATTCAACTGCCTCATAAAAGATGACTATTCTTTTTTACACATGGACCTTACCAGACGGAATACACAGAAATCAAAATGACTACATATAAGGAAAGAGAGGATAGAAAAACTCCATCAGCCAAAACAAGGCCAGGGATAGACTGTGAAACAGACCATCAATTTCTCATATGCAAATTCAAGCTGAAGATGCAGAAATTAAAACTAGTCCACAGAGTCAAAATATGATCTTGAACATGTTGTTGTTAGGTGCCGTTGGGTCAGTACAGACTCATAGTGACCTTATGATCAACAGAACAGGGCACTGCCCTTTCCTGTGCCAACCTCACAATCGTTGCTATATTTGAGACCATTGATGTGCCGGTGCATCTCGCTGGAGGTCTTCCTCTTTTTCTTCAACCTTCAACTTTGTCAAGCATGATGTTCTTCGCCAGGGACTGGTCCCTCCTGACATGAAGTGTGAGAGATGAAGTCTGGCCATCCTGGCCTCTACAGAGCATTCTCGCTGTACTTCTTTCAACACAGATTAATTCTTTTAACAGTTGGTATTGACCTGATCTCATGTAACAACAACAACATTTGCGTGTGAAAGTTGGGCAGTGAATAAGGAAGGTCCTAGAAGAATCAGTGCATTTGAAATACTGTGTTATAGAAGAATATTGAAAATACCTTGGGCTGTCAGAATGAGCACAGTGCCCCATGGGAGAAGTACAGCCAGATGCGCCTTCAAAAACAGGATGGTGAGACTTCGTCTCTCATACTTTAGATATGATACCAGGAGGGATCAGTGCTTGGAGAGGAGCATCATTGGTGATAAAGTGGAGGAATCCAAAGAAATGGATTGACACAGTGGTAAGAGCACAGAACTTAAACCTAATGGTTGTGGGGATGGCAGAGGATCGGACAGTATTCTGTTCCATGCTGCATGGGGTAGCTATGAGTTGGTACTGATTCGACCGCACATAACAACATATAAATTAGCTATATAGGATACATCCTTTCCTTTAATAAATAATGCCATAAAGTTAATTTATTTCCTCCCCCAAATGATGTTTTTCTGTTCAACTTGTAAAGATCAAGTAAATAAATCTTGAAATTAAAAATGAAAAAAAAGAGTACTACCAATAAATATTAATATCTAATTAATGATTATTGTTGTTAACTACTGTCAAGTTGATTCTGACTCATAGTGACCCGTATAGGGTTTCCAAGGAGCAGCTGGTGGTTTTAAACTGCCAACTTTGCAGTAGGCGGTCTAGGGTTTACCTTACAAAGTCACACCATGACTCCAAGTTAATGACTGTTGTTGTTAGGTGCCATCGAATCCATTCCAACTCACAGTGACTCTGTAAAGACTTTCTGAGATATTATAAATCTTTACAGGAGCAGAAAGCCTCCTTTTTCACTCACAGAGTAGCTGGTTGATTCAAACCGTTGATCTTGTAGTTAGCAGCTCAATACGCTATGCACAAGGTGCTCAAATGTTTAAGTGATTACTGGTATCTGCAACTATATTGAAAGGTATTAAAAAATAGGAGGAATTAATGTATAGATAGAGGGATAGGTAGATGAATAGTTTATATGACAAAGCAAAGATAGCAAAATGTTAATAGTAGAATCTGTTTTGTGTATATGTCTACATAATTGCTTCAACTTTTTCATGTATTTGAAATTTGTTTAAAAAAATTGTGGAAGTATAAAAAAAATTAAGGTGATATAAAAGCATTTTCAGATTTTTTACAAAGCTGACAAAATTGCCACCAGCAGCTAAACAAACCAGAAATGTTAATAGTTATTCAAACTAAAACAAAATTATACCAGGAATTAAATGTGCCTGGAATAAATATGTGGATAAATATTTTTAAAATATTTCCCCATTTCTTAATCAAAGATAATTGAATAGTTAAAGTAAAAATGATAA